AAGAAATGAATAGCTCATGGGCCTCCCTGGTTTGCATTTATTTTTGTGTATAATTCATTTATTTCTGTCTCTCTCCTCTCTTATAGAGCACCCATGGGCACTCTATAGAAAAATCGTATTTTTATTAGGCCAGTTTTGATAGTAGGATATTTTAAATAGCTCTAGCTTGAGACATTTTACATGTTAAAAAAAACAAGAAGGCCCATTTTTTCACACGCGACCAAATTCTCGACAAGGTTCATTTAATTTTAGTTGGTTTACTGAGGTTGACAGATCTTAATTATATGGAATGGGTTTAGGTATGTGATGTAAGAGCATCTCCAACAGCTTCCCCAAAATTTTCTCCAAAATGGAGAAACAAAAATCATATTCTCCAAATTATTTTTGCTCCAACTCCAACAGCTTCCCCATTTTGAAAAATCGTATTTATTACAATAATAAAGCTCTCCCCAAAAATTTGGAGAATGCTGCAGATTTGGGGAAGGCTCCCTATTTTTTCTCCTCCTTCCCTATTTTGGGGAATGGGATGGGGAATCTGTTGGACTAAAAAAAAGCTCTATATTCATCAAAATTGAGTATTTCAAGAAGATGGGGAAGCTGTTGGAGATGCTCTAACCATCTCTAAAATCCCCTTTTCCCCCAAAGTGTTTCTTGAGCCTGAACAAGACACAATGAACTCCAAATTTGAAGTCTAAGAGCATCTCCAACAATCTCATAGTAGGGAGCTTTCGTTGGAGTGCTCTCAAGCATAGGGTCCACTTAGAAGCTCTTTACTAGGAGAAATATTCCAACACTCTCTCAACTAGTAGCTCAAATATTATTTAAAAAATCCATTCTCCTAGAAATAACATTTTATAAAAAAAATTAAAACAATAAATCTAATAAAAAATACTTTTTAGTGGGCCCCTGCCCCTTAGGAGCTCCCAAGTGCCCCACAAATTTATGGAGCTCTTAGAGCAAGTGCAGCAGCCTCCCAAGATGGCTCTTAAGTCCTATGTGGCAAGAAAAAGCTCCCAAAACCTTCCAACAAGCTCCCAATGAAGCTTTCAAGTCCTAGTTGGCGGTGGGGCCCACCATGGAGCTCCTAAGAGCTCCACAAATTTGTGGAGCACTTGGGAGCTCCTAAGGGGTGTGGGCCCACTAAAAAAATTTTTTTAATTAGATTTGTTGTTTTAAAAAATATTTATAAAATGTTAGAGGTAGAAGAATAGATTTTTTAAATAATATTTATGCTCCTAGTTGGGAGTTTGTTGGAATATTTTTTCTAGTATGAAGCTCCTAAGTGGGTCCCATGTTTGAGAGCACTCCAACAAGAGCTCCCTACTAGGAGATTGTTGCACTTGGGGGCTGTTTGGTTGTTGTTGGTAAAGTTGTGTATTTATGACACAACTTGGAAAGTTGTTGTCCACCTCATCAATTTTACTTTTATATTTTTCTTTGTTTGTTTTTTATTCCATTGGAATCATAAAACACTTGTTTGGTTTGCAAAATGAAACTTTAATTGTTTGTTTGGAAAGTGTAAAAAGTGGTCCCTACTCAAATGATCATATTGGTTGGAATTATTTTTTATTATTTTTTCCTAACTTCAATGTTAGCTTTCTCCTAAAATCATGTCTTTTTTTCATGAAATTACTTTACAAGCCACATCAGCATATGAAATCACTTTACACTATTTTTACAACTACAAACAAACAATTGAAAGTGATGAAAGCTGACATTGGGACCCACTTTTTTACACTTTACATCCTTTTACATGGTAAAAACATACAACCAAACAGCCCCTTGCTCTTAGGAGCTCCATGGTGGGCCCCACCGCCAACTAGGACTTTGGAAGTTGTTTTATCCTAAACTTAGTCCAAATGTAAATTATAGAACTAAAAGATAGTCTCTCTACTTAGGATACCTTCATTAATCACTTAAACTAGAAGCTAAGGTCAAAAAAGCAAAGTTTTTGATCATTTGTTGGGTTGCGCGTGCAAGGCTGACCAGCAAACCCCCTCCCAAACAAAAGAACTCTATAGGTGCCCAATTTTCATAATAAAAAGGTTTGCATTTTAGCTATAGGGCCAGTAGCACCTCGTTCATGCATGTTAGGGCTTTAGGAACTTCTTTTTCTTTTACTTTTTTTCTCCTTTTTTTCCTTCTACAAGATGAAGAACAAAGACAAAGGGGACTTTGGCAAGAACCATCTCAAAGCTCCTTACACGCGTAGGAAACCATGCACACATGTGGCATCTGCATGGAGTTGAATTCATCTCCTGCACGTGAGGATGGCCCTCTCCTTCGCTTTTCACAGTTGAAGATGATTTTAATATGAAAAATTTCCCAATGATTCAAAATATGAGACCAACAATGGGGCACCTCACCTGTCCTACCTGTTGGTCCCATATTTTTCGTCTCTGTAACAAAGCTCTTTTAAAATACTAGGGGTTAGAATCACTGGTTACACATTATTTACTCCAACTACATATACCATCTTTACGAGTTAAATTTTACTTATTAAAAAAATTTGCATAATCAAACAAAATTTTAAATATATGATCGATTTTAAGTACATAAGAAAGGTACAAAGCCTTGAATTCTCCTTAATCTTCTCTTCTAGACCATAGTTTACATGTTTTTCTAACGGTGCAGATGAGCATTCCTTAAGAGATGAGAGAGAGAGAGAGAGAGAGAGAGAGAGAGTGAGTGAGAGAGAAATAAATAGCAAGTAAATCTCCTCTGATTTGCACTAATTTCTCTCTTTACCTCATTTCTCCATCTCTCTCATCTCCTAGTGCCTATGAGCACACCTTTTACACCAGTATATATTAACATTACAAAGAAAAAGAGTATTAACATGATATTCTCAATACCTACTCTTCTACACTTATAGGAGGCTCCAAAGAATCACTATTCATGCTACAAAAACTATGTTGTGAACAGTTAATCAAATTTCCCACTATATTTTTTTAAAGTTACTGTTTATACTACAATATTTTACTGTATCATAAATAGTAAATCAAATCAAATGTATTAAAACTTAGATTCTCCTTTAAGTATAAATGAGTAGATATGATTTCTAAATCAAATGTATTAAAACTTATATTTTTCTTTAAGCATAGAGGAGTAGACATAATTTCTAATTTTAAGCATATAATAATTAAATTAAATGTATTATAAAACTTAAAGGGGGTAAGTTCAAAATGCACTACTTAAAAAATTAATGGGTTGTGCTTTGCACAGGGTGCACACTAGTTTACCGAAAAAGAAAAACTACAACATTCTTAAAAACAGAAGTTGCGTAGTTTTAATATAGCACAGGTACATCAAGGCCCCGTTTGGTACACGGGAATGGGGTGGAATGGAATGTTATTCTCACTTCTCATTCCCTCATACCAAACAAAACTTGTTTTTAGATGTTGGAATGATCATTCCTATGGAATGGTCATTCCCACTTTTTATGGGAATGAACATTCCAAGTGAGAAGATAGGGAATGATCATTCCCATTCAATGGGAGAATCAAATTAGTTAGTTTTTTTTCCAATTATACCCCTATTAATAATAAGAATCAATTTAAAAATTATGGCTTTTGACTACATATTCTCATTTTCTCTCAGTTACTAATTATATTCGAACAATAGCAACTTTTTTGCGGGGTAGGGATTAAAACTATTGATACCTATTTCAGTAGCATATTAAAACTAGCCGTACATATTTTATTAGCCTATTATATCATAATTGCTCAACATAGGAGCAACATAATTTAATATAAAAACAGATACAACCGAAACTATAAATTATTTGCCGATTGAAATTTTTTCTTGTCAATATTTTTTTTGGTCAATCAATTTTTTTTGTTTATTCACCAATGTTTAAAGTCTGTTATTTTCACCAGCACATTATATTCTTTTTAAACTTTTGCTATTGTTTTCCCATCATAGAGAACTATATGTACCCATTGCGTACATGTTTGATTGTGGTTCATGCACAACAATAATTCTAACTTTTGATTGAAAAATATTTGACCCAATATTTATGAAAAGAGGAAGCTCTCGCTGAGAAATTGGCCAAAATATTAAAATTATCAAAACCATATCATGTCTAGACTATATATAGAGGTATAAGGGCATTATTATAACACATACCTAGATTAATATAACATATGCAGAAATAGTGAGAATTGTTTAAAAAATATAAACGAAACATACACCTGATCGATAACATGCACATTAGTATAACACATACCTAGATTAATATAACATATGCATAAATAAATTTTTTTAGTTATTATATATCATTAATGTTTATTTTTATCTTTTAAAAATCTATGTTGTTATAAGGATATTATTAGAAAATGAGATTTCATTCTCACTTGTGAACTAGTGATACCAAACATGGGAATAAGAATTAGATTTTCATTCTAGCTTCATTCTACAAACGCACCCAAAGAAGAGAATGAGAATGATCATTCTATTCTCACATACATTCCATTCTATTACTTCTTCCATTCCATTCTCACTTGACTTCATTTCCACGTACCAAACCAGGCGCAAAAGTCAAATTTGCCTGCAGACTTATGCCAGTCCAATTTTCGGAGCATGAGCTACGCAGGTGATCTATTTGTCAGAGCCCATTGCGACGGCCCAAGAAGAAAACGCAGCCTAGGCCCTTCATTTATTTTTCATATTTGAGATCTAATGGATCATTAGTACACTTATACTAGTGTCTCTAATGAACCAAACATATGCCAAACCACTTGGTTAAGAAAAAACAAAACAGGTACGGTTGGTTGGATGGTAAATGAGATAATGGATTCTTAATACATTCCATTCAGAAAATAGTGGACGCTTTACTTGCAACAACAGTGACAAGCCAAGCATATTACCACCACTAATTATTAATTAATCAGGTAGGAAGGGAATAAGTCGCAATTAATGTCACTTTCAACTCACATATATTACTGAGCTACGTCATCAAAACTAATCCTTCCCCAAGACTCCAAACTAATCAACCATTATTTGCAGTATGCCCAAACAATCCCATCTACAGGTTTCCTACGCACAAACTTAGTTTAGGCGCACAGGGTTGACCCATGGCGATCAGATTATGTTCGCCAAGTTTCGTCGTTCCAGCAAAAAGGACCGACAGGAGCCCAACAACGAGAGTTCAAGGGCAAATTAAAAGAGGATCAACACTTTATTCTGCAAACAAGGTCGGCTCTGTTTTCCGCTACGAGCTCAACTCTCCTAAATCCAGAAGTCCTCTGTAGCTGCTTATATTTCGATTTGTTACAGGTTTTTGTGATCGAAGACCAGGAGATAGTTTGCTACAGAGATGAGAAGGGGGAGCTAATCTGTGAGGGGTATGATGAAGGTCCAAGATTCACTCACCAATCACATGGTTCAGATCATCAGAGGTACTTGGCAAAACAGAAATAAAGTACTCAAATCAATTGAAGTATATATCCTGAACAGTTTGCTTTTTTTTTTTTAAAAAAAATATTTCCCCCTCCATTTCATGCATAGAGGCAGAGAGCTCCATGTACCTGATTCCAGGCGAGGAAGAATCAGAGTTGAAGATGGCAATGATCACTATATCAAGGGTGTTCCTGAGATGAATAAGGTTGACATGCTGATGAATTAGGTTGTGTTACCAGTGCAGGAAAAAGATGTGAACTGAACAAAATAAAGAATGTATACCTTGAATTTTCCTTCCATGTATATATACAGGACTAGCTAGCTCCCTTTAGCTTGTGCTTAGAGGGATCTTGAACACATCCCAGTCTCCAACAATAAGAAGGATTGCATTACTGCTTTTGTTCTCAAATTTGTTGAAATCTTCTATAGCTGCATTGCATAACACATATACACAAGATTTCAATAGCTTGTAAATACAGAAAAACAATATTCTGGCAATATAGGATCAAAGAAAAGAAGACATTGGTTAGATCATTACCCATCTTGTAGGCCCTTCACTTTGACATAACATATCGTCTGTCTGATCAATGAATACTGATGTTGATACTAAGCAGCATAACAAATCACACTTCTATACTACATTAGAGTTCACGTTGCTCAATTCTAAATCCATGATATATCCAAACACAGGCACTCATAAATGCGCGTGGACGCCTCCACACGTCCCAACTACACCCACACACACCAACCCACCACACGCGTCCGGTTACGTTGGTGTGTGCATGCGGCCATGCGGACTGGCAAGGGCATGCAGGCTGGTGGGGCTGACGTGTGCCTGCAAGCATGTCTGTTTGTATGTGTGCGGTATGTCTGTTTGTACGTGTGCCTGCAAGCATGTGTGTTTGTACGTGTGCGGTATGTATGCATGTATTTATGTATGTATACGTTTATGTATATAGATATAGATGTATGTATATTCATTTATACGTGAATATGAATACATATACACCTCTAAGTACATGTGTGCACGCACACACATATAGACACACCACCACACACGCAATTTATCTCATGCAGTATTCTTCAACAATATCGATAGAGTGACACTCAAAAAAATCCATGTAGCAATACCTAGGAAAATTATATTTTGGCTATCATCTTTGCTGAAGTACTAACATAGCTCAGCTGTACATGGCCATTACAAAATTTTACTACAGAACAATGCAACCCAACCAGAACCCTTCTCAGTACCTTAGTCCTATCTATATAATGTAATCTATACTAATACAAGAAAGTGAAACATTGATAAATGCAACTATAAACACCATTTCTCTTCAGAAAACAAAACAAAACCGCATACAGAATACATGTCAGCTCCATTTCTAGTAAATGTTGCAGAGGATGAAAAACCAGAAGGGAAAATCATGAAAAAGGTAAGTCATACAATTATAGAAGATATAAGCCTAACCTATCACATATTGGGATTTTTTTTAAAAAGACCGATTTTGCTAAATAATTAGCAAAATAGACCATTTTGCTAATTATTTAGCAAAATAGATCTCTTTTTGGCCAACAAGTCAAAAAGAGGTCGATTTTAAAAAATAGGCTGCTGAAAACATACGGGACTAGTATAGTCCCGTATGTTTTCAGTGCACTAATCGGGGATTTGTGCTCACAGAAAACATACGAGACTACTAGTCCCGTATGTTTTTAACATTCTGTTTTTTAAAATCGACCTCTTTTTGGCCTGTCTATTTTGCTAAATAATTAGCAAAATGGTCTATTTTGCTAATTATTTAGCAAAATCGGTCTTTTTTTAAAAATTCCCTCATGCAATATTCTTCAACAATATCGATAGAGTGACACTCAAAAAAATCCATGTAGCAACACCTAGGGAAATTATATTTTGGCTATCATCTTTGCTGAAGTACTAACATAGCTCAGCTGTACATGACCTTTACAAAATTTTACTACAGATAACAATGCAACCCAACCAGAACCCTTCTCAGTACCTTAGTACTATCTATATAATGTAATCTATACTAAAACAAGAAAGTGAAACATTGATAAATGCAACTATAAACACCATTTCTCTTCAGAAAACAAAACAAAACCGCATACAGAATACATGTTAGCTCCATTTCTAGTAAATGTTGCAGAGGATGAAATGCCAGAAGGGAAAATCATGAAAAGGGTAAGCCGTACAATTATAGAAGATATAAGCCTAACCTATCACATACAATTATAGAAAATATAAGCCTAACCTATCACATATTGCATATAAAAAAGTAAGCAATTATAGAATTCAGAGATAAAATGGGTACATCTCAGTTCTACACCAGATAAGCTTAAATATATTCGTGCAACCGGAACCATGTCCTTTTATATGGAAATCACATTGGGAGGGAAGGTAAGACTCTAAAAGATACATGCAACCGGAACCATGTCCTTTTATATGGAAATCACATTGGGAGGGAAGGTAAGACTCTAAAAGATACAAATTTGTAATAATAGAAAGATGAGACTTTCCCATGAACAAGGTCCAGCCAGACTTTGCATCACTTCCGATGTCACTCAGATATATGTACCTGCAAATCTATGTTTTAAGTCTTTTTGCCTATTTTCATTCCTCACCTTTAGCACTATAAAAGTAAGAAAATGTACACAGATGAGATTTCCTGATGCGTGAAACTTCAACGAAAAATATTTCAAAAAAGAAAAAGAGCCAGCGTTGAAATAAACTATGCAGCAACACATTGATCTTCATGTCTTCATCAAAGAATAAAAAAATTATGAAGGGATAAACAAAAGATGTTGCATATTCACATTAATAAAAAAATTGCATAATGGAAAAGGAAGAAAAGTATAATAAGAAAAATCTGATAACATAATGTGCTCAAGCTACAACTAGAATCAATTGTCCTCAATTAATCGTACACAGATGTGGAATGGTGTACAATATGAGGTCGGTATGAATGACACTATACAAAATATTCTAAGAAAACAAATAAAAATACTATGCATCACAACAATATAACTGACCTTCTACTTGATCTTCAACAGTAATACACAAAACTTGGAAGGGAATAGAATGAGACAGCCATGCCCAGCAGTAAAAGAATGAATAAACAGAAATAAAGAAAAAGCAACATGAGGAGCCCTATGAAAAAAATGGGCCTTTCACTACTTACACCTTCAAATATACAGTTTGACCCTATGATTCAAGAGAGGCCTCCTGCTGGTTATCTTCACTGGAATCTGGCTGCAAACTAGTTGGAACAGTGGAAAGAGCTGACCACTGATCTGGAACTACAAGAAAATATCCAGTCATGGCCTTCCTGAAACGCTTCTTGTATTGTTTGGGTGAAATCACAGTAGGAGCAACATTCTTTGGTCCACCCAAAATACCTGACGCTTTAACCCAATTCTCCAGATGCTTGTCCCACGTATACTGCCTCATGAAATCAATAATTCCCAAAACAAGTTCATGCTTCACTTCATCAACTCCCACCAGTAAAGAATAATCCATTACAGCAACAGACTGGAGATGGCAATGTAAAAGTGAAGAGATTAGTGAGCAGATATATGGAAAGACAGCATTCTTTTAACAAGAAAGCATTTGATCAATGCAAAAGATGTGAACCAAATTTGCAAGGAAAGAGTTTTTTTGACTTATGAAAAGGGCAAAACAGTCGACTTTTTCTAAAGAAGGGATATCAAGTAAGAGAGAATAAAAGAACCCACTTCAGGAACTCCTCCGTTACTAGAGAAAATCTAGAAAATAACAGGGAAGGATGCTGTTGCAGGTTAATTTGTAGTTTTAGTAGTTGATAAGAAAACTCAACTTGGGCCTAAATAAATCTAGAGTGCAGATGATTGCACAAACATTATATATGAAGTTTGCAAGGAGAAATTTAGTTTACTGGAAACAAGTGTAACAAATGCACATAAACATCAGAAAAGCAATTCTACATTAGAAAATCAAAACAAGGACAAAGGAGATTTCACAAGAGCAAATAGATTTTGAAGACTAACAAATGCCAATGCTAGTAAGAGATCCCTTGTTCAAGGGAGTCCTATGGAAAAAGAAAAAAACATTTTACAAAATATATAACGTATAAACAAGAAGTTAGAGTGTGTTGAGGATTATATATATATTGGTTCCTCATCATGCATGCTTGGTGGGTGGGAAACAACTTTAGGTTTGTTCATAGGAAACAAAAACAGCACACATGCATGTGACACTTGAAGATATCTTTAGTACTCCTGAGGTATAGCTAGTTTAGATATGCCTGCCTACCAATTTCATTATTTGAAACAGGTTAATCTGCTTCCTTTGTATTCATCTACATGTCCTAAGATTTCTAACAATAAAAACTTATGCATACGCCTTTCTACAAATAACGCATTTTTTTTCTTCTCACCGCGAGAAAAGCAGTGTCATTCCATACAGCTCTCTCCAAAAGCCGCTTTGCCTTGTTTCTCACAAAAATTGGAGAAGTAGCCTCGAGCAAGTTCTGATCAAGAAGGACCTTGTTGTTACAATCTGTATTATACCGCGATCTTAAAGATCCTTTTAGGTCATACAGCCTAGTTATGTTCCGCGTAAACAAAAGATTCTCCATAACCAGCACATCCATCTTTAAATCTTTGCCACCCTTCAGATGCTTGGAAGTAACCTGCAATACATCATCAGCCAAGGAAGAAGTTATGCTTAAAATAACGAAGTATGCATATAATCACTGAATAACATCATAATAACTTCCTCAGAATGAAGCAAGCAAACAATTTTGCCAGAAATTTACAGACAGATAAAACTTTGCTACATTACTTGTCACCAGCGACTTATCAACCTTAAACAAATGCCTAAAATAGCAAGCAAGTTAAAGAAAGCCAATCTAGTTGCAGCTGCCTCCAATTATATTGTAGATTCAATAGTCATCTAACTACTTGACCACATTCTGACACTTAAAAAGCACAAAAACCACACCTAAAAAAAGACAGGCATACAATGATTCATGCAGCTTACGAATCACCGTGGCTCTCGGTGCAAGTTTTTATGGATTGAATTTAGTCCAAATATAAATAATCACCTAATTGGGAAATCACCTTATACAAAAGCTTGAGATTTCAGGGCCAACAATTATTCTATACCGCCCTCTTCATGTGGAAAAGAGTATACGTAGACATGGATGATAAGTATGGTGGATTTTGGACCTGGGTCTCTAGGTGCCCTGTTCTTCCTAGTAAGAGTTGTTTGTAACAACACCCAAAACTTAAGGACGCTAGGGTGCAGAAAAACAAATTGTACTACTATAACATCAAACTACTTATTGTACAATATGCAAGTAACCATTCAAGCAATACCAGTTTCATTAAGGATGGCAATACCTTCCACAGCTAGCAACCAAATACTTGCTCAAATTTCAAATCAACCCAATATCATCCCCCTGGGACATTAACTTATATATGCATCCTTAACAAAGAAAGTTTGCTTCTACCATCAGATCTAGAAAATAAAGTAATAATAATTTATAAATTTTCTAACAGAGCTTTGCTTTTTCTTATTTCATTTAACTTTCTGGTGGATCCACCAGTCTCCACAATAGTTAGAAAAGGGAGGGGGAAAAAACAAGCTGTCAAATATATGATGAATTAGTGCAGTGATGGTTACGTACTAGTATAACTGGTGCAGTCAAGCCAACTTGGCGACGTTATTGCAAAGCAACCCCTTGAATAAATCTGTTTTTAATCTTTACATAGTTTTGAAATATTATATTTCCTTTCAACTAGTACGTTTTGTAGAATTTTCAAGTCTTAACCAAAGCACTAGTGCAATATTATCTCTCTTGACTGCTTCAATAAACTATTAAGTGTGTTCTTCAAGAGCAAAATTTTCTAATGACAATGTCCCACATTTGGTTCTATAGTCATCAACAACAATTTAACTCCGTGTGCATCTCATTTTCTCTTATATTTCTAGAATTTATGGTTCTGACCAGGCAGACCTAATCCAAATCCATTATCAGATTATCTTTCAGTTGAGGCAACTTGAAAGATTCCTTATCTTCTTCAGGTAAGGTTTTCTTACTACAGTTGGTGCACATCCGCCACAATGGTTTCATCTCTGTTAAAAAGTCAGCTAAGCACCATAAGTACAAATTTATGCAGCCCAACTGATCAAGAAACCATCATGATGACTCGTAGCAATCACAACTCCTAAAACCATTACTACTACTTCATCTACTCCCTCCAAATGCACATGTATGACCTCATGACATGTCATCAACAGGTAAAACATGTCAACCAGCAGCCCTTTTTGACAATGAAATATTGGTGGCCGAAATGTTTGATTTTGAAAAAGTGGACAGGCCCCACAAACCAAAATCAAAGATTTCGGCAACGAAAGCTGAGGAGTTTGAAATTAATAGGATGACGGGTCCCATCACTAATAATATTTTATTAGTGCATAATATTTTCCAAAGACTATAAATAGGACCATAACTCTTCAGGAAAAACTCATCTCAGAAACAACTCCTCTTATAAAAGAGTGAGAGAAAGAAAAAATAGAAAGTTTTTCTTAATATCAAGGAGGGGGTTTGTGAGAATACTTGGAGTGTATCTTGATCAAGAGAGAGTGTTCTCTTTGATCTAATTCTTTTGGAATATAAAAGAACTGGCGTCGTCGTTGCACCGTGGAGTAGCTCCGTAAGAGTGAACCACGTTATATTTGTGAGTACTGTGATTGAATTTGTGTCTTTATTCTGTGATTCCAAAATCTTTTGGGTGTGTATTGTGTCTCCGTTCGAGGCGTTCTTGTTGACGTATATCCTAACAACTTGTATCAGAGCCTGACTTAGAATACATATATCTGCTTATTATATGTTCTGTGGCTGCCACTAAAAATGAATCATCCACATCAGAATATAAGTTAGATTATCATTTACTCTTTAAAGGCACTGGTCACTATTCACGAGTACGATATTGTTCATAAATACGATACTATTCACAGATACGGTACTATTCACAAATACGGTGCAGCGGATCTCAAGTTCAACGATGAGATCTAAACTCTTCTGCTACTTTCTTGTCTATCAGATTCGTGAGAGAATATGATGATGGTAATGAGCAACGCTAATGACAATGACAAGATGAAGCTTGACACAGTGATTGGGGCAATTCTGAATAAAGAATCTTGCCGTAAAGTCTCAGGAGTTGAGGCCTCTAGCAATGTGAGTGCTTTGCATGTCGAGGCACGAGGGCGTGCGTAAAAGAAGAGTAGGGGACGATGAGGCCGATCAGAATCTAGAGGAAAGTCTAAAGGGCTGAACCTGAATAGTTACGGTGAAGGGAAGTGCTTCAGATGTGAAAAGAAATGGTCACTTTGTACGGGACTGCAGAGCTTCTATTCCAGCATCAACAGGGGATGATCAGGCTAATGGTGCAGCCAATCTCATGCATGAGACGGATTCAGATGCGCTTCTTCTATCTCTTGAAGACAAGAGCGATGCGTGGGTCATCGACTCTGGTACATCTTTCCATGCAACCTCACAACAAAAACTGCTTTCATCGTTCATGAAGAAGGACTTGGGAACAATCTATCTTGGTGACGATTAACCTTGTAAGATTTTCAGGAAGGGAAATTGTACCCTCAAGATAGAGGGAGGAACTATCTTGACGCTGAACGACGTTCGGCATGTACCGGATCTCAAGCGAAATCTTATATCAGTCGGGCAATTGACTGACTCTGGTTATAGAGTATCCTTCGTACAGAGAAGCTGGAATATGTCCAAGGGTGTCTTGGTGGTGGCACAAGGCAAACGCGAGGGGTCTCTCTACATCGTCAATGAGAAAACCGATCGCTTGCTTGCCGCAGGACAAGCATCATCATCATCATCTGTCGACTGTATGACTTGACATCGACGACTTGGCCACATGAGCGAGAAGGGGATGCAGATTATGATCGCGGGAGAGACTTTCGGATCTGAGCAAGATCGATCTGACTTTCTGTGAGGACTGTATCCTAGACAAACAGAAGAAGGTGAGCTTCAACAAGATCGGACCGACTCCAAAACTGTAGAAATTAGAGTTGGTGCACACCGACGTGTGGGGACCTGCACAAGTCCCATCTGTTGGCAACTCTCTTTACTTTGTCACTTTTATTGATGATTCTACTAGAAAATTATTGGTGTTCTTCTTGAAGCACAAATTAAATATTTTTATCATCTTCAAGAAATAGTTTGCCTGTGTGGAGAACGAAACAGACAATAAGCTGAAGTGCCTAAAGTCTGATAATGAAGGCGACTATTATAGTCAGGAGTTCGAGAACTTTTGTTCGTCCCATAGGATTAAGAGACTGAAGATCGTCCTAGGCACACCTCAGCACAACGGAGTGGCGGAGCATATGAATCGCACTATCTTAGAGCACGTCAGAAGTATGAGGATCCACTCCAGATTACCCAAGAGTTTTTAGGCCGAAGCTATCAATACCGTTGCATACTTGATCAACCGCGGGCCATCTGTGACTCTCAGTTATGGGATACCTGAAGAGGTTTGGACCGAAAAGAAGCTGAAGCTAGAGCACTTACGAGTATTTGGTTGTGACGCCTATGTCATGATCAATCCTATAGACCGGTCAAAGCTTGATCTAAAGTCAAAGAAGCTCTCTTTTATCGACTATGGAAGAGATCAGTATGGGTATCTTTTTTAGGATCACAATGCGCGCAAGGTGGTACGCAGCCGTGATGTCGTGTTTCATAAGAATGCGGTGTACAAGACCAAAGAGGTGAGTGAGAGTCAGCTATCTCCTCTTTTTTTCCTAGATGTTACTGACAGTGAGGACGACGGTGAGATACCAATTAGCATAGACGATAGAGACTAAGAGAACGTGTCGGATGCACAGCAGCAGGACCTAGCAGAGTTATCGATCGTAATTCGCAAAGCTCCAAGAAATTTAAGGGTGCCAGAAAGGTACCTTTCCACCATAAATTATCTTTTCCTAACTGACAGTAGTGAGTCAGAGAGCTATGAGAAGATACAGCAAACCGGTAAAGCTCGGGGTGAGTTGGAGTCTGTCATGGAGGAAGAAATGAAATCCTTGATAAAAAATAAAACTTGGGAGCTCGTAAAGCTTCCAAAAGGAAAAAAGGTTCTTTACAATCAGTGGATTTATCGGGTCAATGATGAAACCGATGGATAGAGACACTACAAGGCGAGGCTTGTAGTGAAGGGCTATGAGCAGAAAATAAGGATTAACTATTCTAACATTTTCGCTCCCGTCATCAAGTTGACCACGATCCGGACTGTGCTAAGCATTGTGACAGTTCAAGATCTGCATCTAGAGCAGATGGATGTGAAGACGACATTCCTTCATGGAGATTTGAAGGAAAAGATCTATATGCATCAACCAGTGAGCTTCGAGGAACGAGATAGGGAGGACCTCATGTGTCGCCTGCGCAAGAGTTTGTATGGCCTGAAGCAAGCTCCGCGACAGTGATATATGAAGTTCAGGAACTTTATGAAGGAAAACAGTTTTCTTAAACGCAACACAGATCACTGCTTCTTCATCAAGAGATATGACGAATCCTATGTGATACTCTTGATTTATGTTGATGATATGTTGATTGTTGGACCCGACTTAGCCCGTATTGAAGAACTCAAGAGGCGTCTCTCCGAATGCTTCGAGATGAAGGATCTAGATCCAGCAAACCAGATTCTTGGGATGAGGATCATCAGAGACAGATCAACACGAAGGCTGAGGTTGTCTCAGAAGGCCTACATTGAAAATATTCTTGAAAAGTTTAGCATGAAAAAAGCTAAACCGGTGGGCTCGTCATTTGCAAACCATTTCAAGCTATCAAAGACCCAAGCACCAAAGAATGATGAAGAGCATGAGTTCATGGCCAACATACCATACGCATCCGTCGTCGGGAATTTGATGTATGCGATGGTGTGCACGAGGCCAGATATTGCACAAGGAATAGGAATTGTGAGCCGTTTCATAAGCAATCTGGGGAAGCACCACTATAGGGTGCGGTCAAGTGGCTTTTACGCTACTTGAGATGCTCGTCCGACCGTTGTCTTGAGTATAGCGGGGCGGATTTGCAGTTAGAGTACTTTTGTGATACAGACTATATCGGGGACATAGACTCAAGAAGGAGCAAGCGGCTACATATTCATCTTAGGTGGTGGAGGGATAAGTTGGAGATCTAAGTTACAGGATATTGTGGTTATATCGATAACCGAAGCCGAGTACGTATCTGTAGCAGAGGCAGCAAATGAGTTGTTATGGTTAAAAGCTTATCTTCTCAAGCCTAGGGTAAGTTTTAAGAAATAATTCATCCACTACGACAGTCAGAGTGCCATTCACTTGTCAGAGAATGACGCATTCCATGCTCGGATCAAGCATGTTGACATGAAACACCATGCCATATGGAGATGGCAAAGCATGAACGAGTTCAAGCTTGTGAAGATTGATACGATGTAAAATTCAGCCGACATGCTGACCAAGCCAGTTTTACTCGAGAATGTGAGACTGTGTACAGTCTCATATGGCCTCCGTTAAGAACGTTGAGGGTCGTGCAAGATGCCAAAGATATAAGACATCCGGATAATGCTACCAAGAATGATGTAAAGATATGATTGATACTCAATCAAATCTTCAAGTGGGAGATTGTCAGCCAGTAGCCTTTTTTGATAATGAAATATCGGTGTCCGAAATATTTGATTTTGAAAAAGTGGGCAAGCCCCACAAACCAAAATCAAAGATTTCGGCACCGAAAGCCGAGGAGTTTGAAATTAATATAATGGCGGTCCGACGGGTCCTACCACTAATAATATTTTATTAGTGCATATTATTTTCCAAACATTATAAAAAGGATCATAACTCTTCATGAAAAACTCATTCTAGAAACAACTCCTCTTATAGAAGAGTGAAAGAAAGGAAAAATAGAATTTTTTCTTAATATCAAGGAGAGGGTTTGTGAGAATACTTGGAGTGTATCTTGATCAAGAGAGGCTGTTCTCTTTGATCTAATTCTTTTGGAATATAAAAGAACTAGGTATCGTCGTTGCATCGTGGAGTAGCTCCGTAAGAGTGAACCACGTTATATCTATGAGTACTGTGATTGAATTTGTGTCTTTATTCTGAAGAGTGAACCACGTTATATCTATGAGTACTGTGATTGAATTTGTGTCTTTATTCTGTGATTCCAAAATCCTTTGGGTGTGTATTGCGTCTTCATTCGAGACGTTCTTCTTGACGTGTACCCTAACAAAACATGGACCAGAAGGTAATGCTTACAGCAATAACATAAAATTATATTGTTCCCATTAGTATGCAATGTTCAAGTAACTTTGTTCCTCAAAAAAGAAGGGATAATTAAGTTGATGAACCAGAACTAGCATAAACTAAAAGAAAAAAATACGGAAGGAAAAAAAAAGTCCACATGTTACACTCAAGAATTGAAATACTTGCCCACAACCTGGGTGATAGAGAAGACAATTAGTATGTATCAAAGGGAAAACCATAAGCAATGAAAAATACCCTACCTGATAGATACCCAGAATCTTTGCCAAGCATGTAGGGCTTCGTGTGACAATTGAGTCTGAAAGATATCTAAAATACTCAGGTGCAAATTTTATAAATGATTCAAGCTCTGTTTTCGTAACTTGTTTTATTATAAACCTATCATCCAAAGTTTTTGCAAAGAAAACATTGCTCTTGCCACCCTGTGCTCCCCATTTCTTACAACGACTGAGTGACCTTATATAATCGAGTTCGGATGGACAGCAAATTCTCCTCAATGCATCAAAACGTTTGGCATAATAACAAGTCACAGTATATCTGACCTTCCCAATTGGCCCTTCATCACAAAAAGAAACTCTGACATGCACCGCTTTTGCGGATGTAAGAGGATCCGAAACCACAGAACTTCTGCCCCCGACCAACGACAAAACGCCATCTTCACTTGATCCAAAACTTTTAAACGGTTCATAGTTCATTTCATCAGTTGACTGATGTAGGAAAGAATTCCCAAACTCCGTGGAGGACTGAAAAAGTGATGCATCAGCATTATCTCTCATTCTTTCCCGCTCGTCTGACATTTGGATACGGTAAACAGGAGAGACAAGTGCGTGACAAATAATACTAGTGGGTTCATCATCATAAATTGGGATGACAGTTTCATCTACTCCAACTGGAAGAAGCAACCTTGCCCCACCCGGATGCTCCAACTCACGGAACAAGGAGATATATACAGGACTATAGTCACAAAGAGCACCAAATCTTGGAGCAATTGCCAAATTCTTGTTCACAGAACGATAAATGTGGGGAAAGGGCATTCCTATCCAGATTGGGAAATCCTCTGCACTGTCACCCAACCTGCCAAGCAAAGCAGATGTAAAGGACTGCGTCATTTCGGCGCCACTTCGTTCTTCTGAATCCTCTGAAACCGACATCATAGCTGTTGCTTCAACTGAAGCCGAATCTGACATGCTTGCATCTGCAAGCACAGGGGCAGTTTCTTCACCAATCCACTTTGCATCAAATGTTTCTGATAAATTTGCTAATGTTGGAACCTGTCCATCAGAGAGGGTTCTACAGGTAGAAAGACCTAAATCCAGAGTATCCAATTGTTCACTTGCACTTGTGCAAGTAGAAAGAAGGATGTTATTTTGTTTTCCCTGGAAAGAGTCCAGATCGGGGTCTACTTTTTGCTCATCATAGAGTCCTTCTTGATGGCTAACCGAAAGAATGTTCCCTTTAAAAGGCTCACCATTTCTTGAATCTTGAGAAAGTGTATCAGAGCTAGTAAAGCTTAGCTGGGACTTGGGGGCTGGGTTCAACTCTGCTAGTTTCTCATTAGTGCTGGCCTTCTCCCTGTCTCTTGTCAAAAAACCACTAAGCATTTCATGGGCAATACTAGTAGATCCGGCAGCAAATATCAAGCGTTGATCCCACAGATATGACAGGAAAAGTAATTGTCTCCTTAATTTATTAACATCAAGTATGTCAATGTTTGGCTGTCCTTTCCTAGCCTCCTTGTCCTGTAATTTATGTAAAGAATCCTGAAACACAAAAGAGAAAGATCATTCGTCACATGAATGCCAAAATTTGAACCAATCCAGAGGATACAAAGGCAGTGAGTGAAACCTCACCTCAAATTCCACCTTCTCCTTTTGCAGCATTTTTTCAAGTTCAAGAATATGATTTCTTAATTCTGGAATTTTCATACTACCATTAGTAGAGGCAGAACTGGTGGGCCTACCCTCTGCAATTTGTTGCAAAGCATTTACTACTTCGTTGAATAAAAGTTGAGTCCTGTTAGCCACCTGTTATATCCAGGAATAATGATCAGATGCCACAGAAAAAACTGAATCATTATACCTATTTCAGAAGTTGTAAAAGATATTGAAGAAACTTTTCAAACAAAATAAATCAGACCTCTTCTGCTTCTCTTTGTATCCATTCCTGATGCTCACAATTGAAATCAAGCTTGTGAGGTGGTAGGTAAACATTGTTAACATTAATTGATGCATATCGGAAGCAAGCAACCCTTTCTCCAAAGCTTCTCATGTGAAGAACAGGAGTGCCATAAGGCAAGAGAATTATAATGGTCATGACAAGAAGAAATAGAAAGAAAGGTGAAGTAATAAATACCCATAAAACCGAAGGCAGTCTCTATGAAGAGAATGGCCACAGCTCGCTACCCTACTTGCAGCAGCATGATTTGAAAAGCTAAGCTCCAGAAATTTACCAAAAGATAAACCCCAAGCAGCATCAGACATCACAATTCTGCGAGTGGCAGGAGGAAATCCATGAACCCTAGGGCATCGTAGACATCTGTGCCACATCCAGATCTTCCCGTCCCTCTCTCCAGGCAAACATAAATGTGCATGCCTCCTAACTGATATTGTCAGGCTACCTTGGTAATGAGTATAACAATGAACATGAGCTTCAGGTGGAGATTCACAAGAACAACACTTAAAAGTCTGCTGGGAAAAGCCTTCACAGTCAAAATATGGAGAGGGAATTTGATTTATAATTACAAGTTAAAAAAATGAAGCAAAAGACTGACCTGGTCAAATAAGTTATCTCGTAAAAATCTTCCCAGTGGCTTATCAAAACTACCGTAATATTTTATGCGAAAAAGATGTGAACGCTCACAAATAGCCCCTTTCCACACAGAGCGTGTGGAAAGAGAAACCAAAATGCTCTGATGGTCAGGGGGGATTTCTTCTTTTGGCAATGTACAGTCAGTCCTTTGTTCATTTTCTTGCAACACATTTGCCAAACTAGAGACAAGTTGTCCTGTTGTCTCCTCGTTTTGAATTTGACTATCATTAGGCATTCTGTCTAAACTTTGCGAACCAGTGCTGTAGCGAGAAGGAACATTAGCATCATGTTTTACTGCTTGGTCATTGTTTCTAAGTGTTTCAACCTCACGAATTTCTCCAAAACATACTTTATTTTTTTCTCTAGCAGTATCACGAGGAGAGGTTTGTCGAGAATTTGAAAATAAGCCAGCTAAAGTAGAGATCTGATCCCTTTTCTCCCCAGGAGACTTTTTCATGCCAACAGGAGAGACAAAAGTAGAACCAGGTGCTCCTTTGTTTCCAGAACTTGATGTTAAAGCCGGGACAAATTCTTTGTGTGCTTGCACATCAATAGTAAGTTGTGGCTTACTGACACAAGAGGGCGCAACACCAGGTATTGTAGAAATTGATTTGTCACAAATGGATGCCGGTTTATCTGGCGATGCAACTGTAATTGGAGATTTTAAGGGAAGTTCTGGCAGAGAGGCACCTTCATCTGCAAGAAAGGAAGTCTCCAGTGCTAGGTGATAGGCTGCAAAAATTCCATATTGGATAACATGTTTCAGTTTCTTCAGCTCATCTCCACTGGCACCCTTGAGCAAAATCTATAAGTAGAACAAAAGAAGTTACCATAGATTACTACTGCATTTGATGTCATATGAAACACAGCTAATTGTCATACAGAAAAAGGACAGTATGATGCATATGCGCTGCAGTAAATTTTAGGAACCTCTAATACTAATAGTCAGAAATAGCATATTCATGCCATACATAGACATGTCTAAACAGTTGTAAATTGCTGAAAACCAAAGTCTGACTAGAATATAAAGATTAAGAATTATGAAGCACTGACATGATACCAAACACATATACAACCTGATACACACACAGTGATACAACAAATTCAAAAACTTGGACAGGGCACATCATGGGAATGAGAACATCTATCTACATGCCTATCTATTTATATATCACACATGCACAGACATGGCCTCATCTCTTGTTATTTGTTGGCAGCTCATTTTGCTAAATGAGCAATCATCTCAAAAAACTTTATCCTTGATATATATCCTGCTCTATAAGTAATTAAAAACAATGTACACGCTAACACATCAGTCATAAGCAATGGTCATAGAAACCATTGGTTCATCTCTAGCTCACAATTAGCATTGAATTGAAAAGTTGCTTGTATGTATGTGCAAATGCGTATTTTTGTATGTTTGTGTTTTGGGGGTAAGGGGAGCAGGAAAGAGAGCATGTGTCAGAAGGAGTACTAAAACAAGCTTTGTGAAACTCTACCATAGCCTATTGCATGGATGATCTGCACCATGCATCTGGACTTACATACCTTATCAGCCTATGAATTGAGATGTCATGTCGTCTGCAAACATTTTACTGTTACAAAATGATATATTTTTTTCCTACAGCTGGAATGCATGTCTTACACCCAAGTGATTCAAGCAATAAGAATTACAGCAACTTGTTCTCCTGATCAATAGGCTAATTTAAGTGAGCAGGTCAAAATGATGGTGACACGTCCATAAGATGGCCTATGGTGGAGCATAACTGATTATTTTAGGAAAGCCTTTCAAAAGAAAAATTTTCCTATAATTCTGTCACTGAATACCATTAATTTTTTGATCACTAGATCCATGGCCGGCCAAAGTCTACAGCACATGATTTTGTTCAACTATGTATTAGGGCATGGAAATTTTTATGAAAGAAGAGATCATGACATAAATTGCAAAGATTGGAGTTTCAGATCCACTATAAAAGAAAGTTCTCTCCCATGGTCAATATCCTCCCATTTCCTCTATACACGTGTATGCATTTAAGTTAACTCCTAATATGTTTATCCATCCTATTGACTGAAAGAAAGGAAATCAAAAGCTCTTTAGTAACAAGCATAAATGGTACCCAAGGTGCTAATAACTTACTGTGCAACCTAAGGGCTTTGGACACCCTTCAAAAAACATTAGTGTCTTCACCATTTTCCTCCCACCCTGCCCAGCACTGCCATGCTCTTCTAGAAACTTTTCCACATGAAACAGATCACACTGCCCAAGCTTTTGAGATGACAGGTGATCAATAGAGGGGACAATCTGAGCACCAGTGCAACGTGCAATACGCTCTAGTAGAGGTCTTTTCATATTTAAAACAAGCGATATGTTTTTTGCAAGTAGATAATCTTGGGCAAAACGAGAGACTGATTTTTCTACAAGGAGTACATGGGGATGGTGAGCATCAATCTTTGCAACTGCCATCTTCAAGTGATCCATTTCCTAAATAGTAGCATGCAAATAATATTAGCAACTATAAAGAGGTTAACTCAAAAAGATACCTTATAGCCACCAACCTGCTGCAGCAAAGTGTCAAAACTTGATAGTGAATTAGTTACTCGCTGGTACTCAAGAGCTCCTCCAAGTATTAGGAAACGAGGCTTTTGTACTTTTGAGGTCATGCGACGATGTGCTACATTCTTCTTACAAACAATTCCTTTTACTACCATGCTGGACAGAGCCAAAACACAGTCAGTAAATTCACACCAGTGGTTAGAAAGAACTACTTATTAACAATTCATCGTTGATGTGCTAATCAACAAGATGCCAGCTAAACATCATTAAACGCATACAGCAGCGCCAGTTCATTGCAGTAAGAAATCCAATTTCTCTAATTTTTTATTCTCGATTTCCTTAAAAATTGTTCATTCTTTGGAAGGCAGTAAGTCAGTATAAGAAATCTAACTTGAAAAACTAATGACTCAGATCCATCCAAAGAACTAAAGCATGTACATACAATCAACTGTACCTTTGACTGCGATGTCCACAAGCAATGCATTTAATCTTCACATACCCACCAGGATCCATTCCTCCTCCCGTGCTGGTGTCTGGCTTTAGAAGAGTTGCTGCTTCCCATGACAAGCCTGTTATTATCTCCAACCAACTTCCCTTGTCACCTTCATCACCCATTGGGACATTTTCAACCTGTAGAAGCTGGGCTATTAGAGCTCTAAAATGCCCATCAACAACATTTTTCATTGCCTTTTTATGTTCTTCGCTTGTTCGATCTCTGCTCCGATATTCACCACTGCAAGAGCTGGTCGATGTACGATTATATCCCCATTCTCCTGTAGGATCCTCATCATCGTCTTCAGCAACTACATCAGATTCCCTCTCATCTTCTTCATCTTCAGGGTCAGGAGGAAACCAAAGTATCTCATTATTATCAAAATCCATGGGTTCCGTATCTTCAGCTTCCAAGCTGTATATTGAAGAAGTATGATCATTACAGCTATTATCTGGTGCAGCTTCATCTGTCATCTTATCAGCGTCTATAGATACACGTGATTCTGTATTATTGTGCAAAGGTGAGTCAATCTCCTTAGTTTCATTATTTTCTTGAACAGAATGAAAATCAGGTGAATGGTAATCCTGGACTGTTTCGTCAAATTCAACTGGGCCATAGTAAATATCAGAATGCAAAATATGATGTGTTTCTGAATCAGAACGCGACATACCATACTCCTCATCCTCATCATCGCTCCTGAAAAAACAAACGAACACATGAACATGTAGTATGTTCCTAGAGAAGAAGAAAAATTCAAAGATCATGTGAAACTAGAACAAGATGGTTAAAGATATTAATAAATATAAATCAACATTTCTTACTATAAAAAAATAAATTATTCTGACTGATCTTTCTATATCAGTTCACAACTTTGTAGTGTTTTGAACAATACGTTATTCTTTTACCAGTAGCAAACCTACAAAAAGGAGAAGGGTAGCATCCACTAGCAGAAAATAGGCAGAAAATACATGTTGGGGCATCTGCAATTAATGACAAATTGCATCAATACTGTCATGATTGCCCATTAGCATTCTGCATACTCATTAAAACCAACATATTCCATCAACACTACCTGGGGCAAGGACAAGTGAGAAAGGGCAGACAATCTGGGGCAATCATAAAATACCCTAGGTTCATTCTTATGTTTGCACAGTTTAGCCTATTTTAACATATCATTAGCACTTAGTAAGTCATAGCTGCTAATTAACATGCACCAATACATCAACCAGTCTATACTTGACCTCGCCCACATCATAACCTGAGAATGTGATACCAATTTGTGGGTGCAAATGGGGAGCTCACGCATATGATGACAGAGATCATTTTAACTTAAAAGGTTAACTAATTGGGATTTGGCTCGAAGACATATACTGAGCACTCAGTTATCCACTCTACAAGTTAAGTTTTAACACTCAACTTGGATGCTTTTTAGTTGGATATGAGAGAGTTGCAACAAATTGCCAACTATTAGTATCCAGATTTTGACAAATTACAGTGACATACACCCTTCTCGATATCCCAATTTGAGAATTGTATCTGTGTCGACAAATAAGCGTCCTAGTGCTTGGTCTTTTGCAAATTTATAAGAGGGTAGCAAATGAAGAAAAATGGACAGTTTCATGAAATATTTAACAAAATTGAGCATTTGAGCTCCTTGAACTTTTCTCTCCCTGTCAATTTTTCCAATCTTTTTCTAATCGTTTCTCTCATAAGATTTAGAATCTTGGAATTTGCTATAATCATCCCTCTAGTCCCTTATCATAAGTTAACTATTCTTCTTGTTTCCTTCCATATTTTGTGCTATATAAGCATCAATTTACATCTTTTTGTAATACATGTTGCTTATGCTTACCTTTCTAGATTTTACAAGAAAGGAGAAAAAAACACTTGAATGATAAAAGAAGATGATGACGACAACAGAAAGCATGTTTTGGCATGAATGTAGATAATGGAGATGAGACAGATTACATTCCTCAAAGCACAACAATTATGATAAGTGTGTGTGTGTGTGTATATTAGATTAGATTAATGGGTATCATTATCATAGGAGGGGATTTCCTCTTTGACGCTTATGTGGCACAATCCCCCATCATCCTCATAAAGTAGGAGAGAGAGTGTAAGTTGATGGAGATTTGTGCCTATTTTATGAGGATGGTGGGGATTGTGTCACATAGGCGTTAAGGAGGAAAATCCCCTCCTATGATAATGATACCCATTAATCTCATATATATATATAACACACACACACTTATCATAATTGTTGTGCTTTGAGGAATGTAATCTGTCTCATCTCCATTATCTACATTCATGCCAAAACATGCTTTCTGTTGTCGTCATCATCTTCTTTTATCATTCAAGTGTTTTTTTCTCCTTTCTTGTAAAATCTAGAAAGGTAAGCATAAGCAACATGTATTACAAAAAGATGTAAATTGATGCTTATATAGCACAAAATATGGAAGGAAACAAGAAGAATAGTTAACTTATGATAAGGGACTAGAGGGATGATGCATCATGTTGGGGAATTTTAGTCTCCCCACCTACTACGATTTGCGCAACTTGAAAGCTAACCCACAATCAATAAGATATAAAACAACCATAATCAAGAAGAAAAAATATCGAAATTTACGTGATTCAGTCGATCAACTTTGACCTACGTCCACAGGCAACAATACGAGAAATCCACAATGTATCAGGGAGAAATACAAGAGGAACTACTCAACTTTCGTCTCTTAATCTCTCAACCGCACATACATAATCAATTCTCATATTATCTCCAAAGCTCTCTCCTTACAATCTTTTGAACGAACAAAGACTGTGAAACTCTCTCCCAATGATGTAATCTTTTGCACGGATAAAGACTACGAAACTCTTACCTCTCGCACAATATTCTTGAATCAGGCTACGCCATCTGCTAATCATAGATTACAAGAATATTGGCTCTCTCACTTCTCCTCTGCTTGTTTTTTCCTCCAACAATAGAAGAATATATATCGAAAAATCAAAACTCTATCTCTAGCTTAACTTTCTAATTAGAATAGAATTCAAACTCCTAGTCATGATGAAACTCAATCTTCTAATCATGATAGATCACTAACCTTATCTAATTCTCATGAAGTTATACAAAAATCAAAGACACAATCCTAACAACCTTCACATTGGATTTGATTCTCAAACTCCCTTGAAGATATATCATCGCCGTCTTAAAACTTTATCTCTCCTGCTAGAGTCTTCTATTTCTTTCGCACTTCAAATCGAAGCACCTGCACTCTAACTGGGACGTCCCGTGACCCTTGCTGTCATCTGCTTCGTCGTGGCGTCTCCATCTCTCTTGTGTACACCAAGAGATCTTCGCTAAGCAAATCAACTATACTTCTCCTCCCGAACTGAACTTGATAGTAGCCTTCCCCTACTTGCTGTACTCGTGCTCCACCTACATCGCTCGTATCGAATCATATCGGTGCATCTCTCTATCTCCTCCATCACTTGGCTTGGACCGAATATGAGCGCTCATCGTCTTCAAGTCCAATGCCACCACCTCCATCAACATGTGTGTCATTCAATCGTGCCTGCTTGCAAGCTCCACCTAATCTGACACTGTCCTCCTCGAGTCTACATACCAACCAACTACTGCTCTCGTGATGAATCTGAATGATTATATGCTAATAACTCTACTGCTAGAATTACGTCTGATTCTTTATACCAGTCTCATCTGTCTCATACTCGTTTGCCGCTATCAGATCTGTCTCGTCATCGCCATCAAAATTTTCCAGCACTTTCTGACTAATCTGAGCATAATCTGAAAAATCAGACACTTCCATCGCGTTTAGAGCACTCCAAATTCTACAAATCAATTCCTGGATCGTCAAATTTTGCCTCCAAACCCTCGATCATAAGACAAATTAATCTTTTTTTTTCCTTTTTCTTCACCTTGATTCTTGTAACGCCGCCTTCAATCTTGCACGACGTTATCTTCTATCTTGCGAACTCGCTCCCGAATCCATCAACATAGCTCTGATACCACTTGTTTAGGAATTTTAGTCTCACCGTCTACTACGATTTGCGCAACTTGGAAGCTAACCCACAATCAATAAGATATAAAACAACCACAATCAAGAAGAAAGAACACCGAGATTTATATAGTTCAGTCGACCAACTTCGAACTATGTCCACGGGCAATAATACGAAAAATCCACTATGTATCACGGAGAAATACAAGAGGAATCACTCAACTCTCGTCTCTCAATCTCTCAACCTCACATACATAATCAACTCTCATATTATCTCCAAAGCTCTCTCTTTACAATCTTTTGAACGGATAAAGACTGCGAAACCCTCTCCCAAATGATGTAATCTTTTACACGGACAAAGACTATGAAACACTCGCCTCTCGAATAATATTCTTGAATCAGGCTACACCCTCTGCTAACCCTAAATTACAAGAATATTGGCTCTCCTACTTCTCCTTTGCTTGGTTTTTTCTCTAACAATAGAAGAATATATATATAGGAAAATTAAAACCCTATCTCTAGCCTAACTTCCTAATTAGAATAAGATTCAAACTCCTAATCATGATAGATTTCTAATCGTATCTAATTCTCATGAAGTTATACAAAGAATCAAAGATATAATCCTAACACATCTAGTATGGCATGATATGAATCTCATGCAATGAGATGGTGAGATACTTAAATCATGAAAGACAAGAAAATGAAGATAAACGTACCTGTTCATGTGAAAGTTGAACCGGTTTGGGGACGAAACATCAATATCATGAATAGAATTCCTCTGTGATACCCGGATGTCATGATTATCAAGATTCAAACCCAATTTAGCCGACTGGACACGACTAAGATTATGAACATATGGACCATGCTGATAAGAAACAGTCGAGTATGAGAAGGAGCTAGGCATCACACTGCTGCTACTATCCGTGTCCGGAGATGATACCAAACTCATTGCTGAAAGTGAAGGGTTGAAGCCATCACTGTGAGGCCTAATACCATTTCGAGGACTCAGCATATCTTGTTCCCATTGTTTGAAGCAGAAATTGCAAACACGAATCCTTTCCACGTCTTCTCGAGCATTATTAGGATCATAAGGTGAAATGGGTACAGAATTTGCAGTGCATTTCCCACAGAAAACTCGCCCACAAAGGCGACAATGGTGTCTCCGGTTGAAGATTGTGAACTGAGAATCACACTCATAACAAACTCTACAACTGTGATCTGGCATCCAAAAATCCCTCGAGACGTTTGGTGGCTCACTTCGCCGTGGGATCCAAGACTTCACTCTCCCCACAAACTCGGAGAATGCAGTGTCAGGTGTATCCATCAATGATGGTGAAGCTTGCCAACTCATGCTGAATCAAATCCCCCTTTCTTCACCTCCCTCAATGAAATTGCAAAAGGAAATTTTTCAAATTCTTTCCTAGTGATCCAATATAAATTGATGTAGCACCAAAATCCCAGCCTTTAATTCTGCAAGTATCTCTCCCAATCATGACTAGCCTTTTAACTGTTAGCACGATTATGGGTAACAGTTACTAACCCATTATTAATCTCCATTTGGTAAGCGAAAAAGAATTCCAATCAGTGGCTTCAAAATACAGCCACAACAAGGTTCAATATCAACAAGGCCCTCAATACTATCAAAAATAAGAGAATATGATCTTCAACTCTAAATACCAGGAAATTTCTCAATTTACTCAAATAACAACCAACTCCTCCAAAATTGCATATTTTCAACAAACGCGTAGCAAATCATGCATTCACATTAGTGCCTCTCCAAAATACCAGCAACAAATCCAAACGAAACCAACCAACGCGTCCCCAAAATCAGACAAACAATCAAGAAACCCCTTCAATGAATTGAGCTTCGAACATTGCGGCTAATTCCACCACCGGACCAAAGCTGGTCTAAAAAAGTAGAGAAATATCGAGGGAAAGATCCGAGCATAACCTCTAATCACCAACATTCTGATCGCGGGAGGGAAATGAGACGGGTTGTCGATCGAATTCCGACGAAAAACGAGGTAAAGTTCTGAGCTTTTCCGCTTCGCCTCTAAATTTCTCTCTCCTCTCGTGCTTCTCTTCTTGCTTCCTGTTTTTTCTCTCCCTCTCACAGTTTTTGCTCCTTATAATTCTTATATGTTTCTGTTTTATATTTTTTATATTATATATATTATTTTCAGGAGTGGGAGATTAAACAGCACCGGACAAGGAAGAAAATGACGTGTGAGGATTATTATACACGTTGTGGATATATCATTAGGGTGGAGCCCACGTTTTGCATGAAATAAGAGGGATTTGTCATAAATAAGGTTTTATATATGTAATGATGTGACATAAACTTGGCATGAATTGCAGAACTTGATTAAAACTCGGGTGGCACTAGGGCCACACCCCCAACCACATCCTAAACCACACCTCTTTCATATGCTACAGTACACCGGATCTCACATGAGATTTTAAAATTTTAAAATCTAACCCATTATTAATCTCCATTTGGTAAGCGAAAAAGAATTCCAATCAGTGGCTTCAAAATACAGCCACAACAAGGTTCAATATCAACAAGGCCCTCAATACTATCAAAAATAAGAGAATATGATCTTCAACTCTAAATACCAGGAAATTTCTCAATTTACTCAAATAACAACCAACTCCTCCAAAATTGCATATTTTCAACAAACGCGTAGCAAATCATGCATTCACATTAGTGCCTCTCCAAAATACCAGCAACAAATCCAAACGAAACCAACCAACGCGTCCCCAAAATCAGACAAACAATCAAGAAACCCCTTCAATGAATTGAGCTTCGAACATTGCGGCTAATTCCACCACCGGACCAAAGCTGGTCTAAAAAAGTAGAGAAATATCGAGGGAAAGATCCGAGCATAACCTCTAATCACCAACATTCTGATCGCGGGAGGGAAATGAGACGGGTTGTCGATCGAATTCCGACGAAAAACGAGGTAAAGTTCTGAGCTTTTCCGCTTCGCCTCTAAATTTCTCTCTCCTCTCGTGCTTCTCTTCTTGCTTCCTGTTTTTTCTCTCCCTCTCACAGTTTTTGCTCCTTATAATTCTTATATGTTTCTGTTTTATATTTTTTATATTATATATATTATTTTCAGGAGTGGGAGATTAAACAGCACCGGACAAGGAAGAAAATGACGTGTGAGGATTATTATACACGTTGTGGATATATCATTAGGGTGGAGCCCACGTTTTGCATGAAATAAGAGGGATTTGTCATAAATAAGGTTTTATATATGTAATGATGTGACATAAACTTGGCATGAATTGCAGAACTTGATTAAAACTCGGGTGGCACTAGGGCCACACCCCCAACCACATCCTAAACCACACCTCTTTCATATGCTACAGTACACCGGATCTCACATGAGATTTTAAAATTTTAAAATCTCGTGTGGGACCCGGTATACTGTAGCATATGAGAAAGATGTGTGGTTTGGGATGTGGTTGGGGGTGTGTCCATATTATTTTCCTTGAAACTTTATTCTATTGGGTGTGAGCTCATATTTCTCTTATTTTATTTGAGGCTCTACGACATCCACCAATAAATAACTTTCTACTAAATAAAAAATAATTGAGGGATTTGTTGCCAAAATCTTTCACATGCGAGGATTTGCTAAAAATTATGGGTAAATTACACCCAAGAAAGTTTTAGCATTTTGCAGTACTTTCAACATCCATTGTAGAAACTCTTATCAATGTTACATTTGACGTGGCACGTGCAACTTACTTGAATTAAAACAAAGACCAAATTGCACACTTCAATTATTAAGAAAGAAAATCCCTTTATGGCCTTTTTCCTTTTTAAAGGAAAAAAAATACGACAAAATGAACCCGTTGTGTTTTGACCCTTTATCCACTCGCTGTAATTTTAACGGTTTCGAATGAATAGAACTTTTTGCACGGCTCAACGAATGGTCAAAATACAACGGGTTCACCCCAAAATTGGTGTGCTTGGGTTTAAGAACGTGTAGATCAAGTTCAACGGAGCGGATCACAAATTTTTTTAGGAAATGATGTGATTCTAGGCTGCGTCCTTAGGTGGGAGCCTAGGGTGTCACCTTAGATTCACTTTTCCCTATATATATATATATATATATACACACACACACTAGTGTAGTGCACGTGAACTTGTATTTGTTTCTTGTTCTAAATTTTTTAATTATATAAGAACTTATCTAACACAATGGATAATTATAGTTCTTATCTTTGTCATGTATAAATATATATTACAATTTTCACTCATAAAGATAACTACAAATGAACCACAAATATAAAAATGCTTAATCTAATTTAAATATTTTGATAGGTTTAATAGTAAATTTAACAAATTGTAAGAGTTAAAGTGTTTTAAAATTAGCATTACATGAGAGTTTTCGAGGGAGAATTATCATGTTTGCATGACTGAGTGTACTTGACGAGAGCCCCAAATTACTTCACACCACCAATGAATCAAGTAGTGTTAAGCCTCTACACAATCACCGACAAATCAACAAAAATACGTAGCCCAAGAACGCCAATGTCCTATTTAGACTTCAGTTCTTTCAGCATGTAACTTCTTATAACTATGCACCACTCGATCACTAATACTCCTTAGCACCGATAGCTCTGAAATCAGTACTAAAAATACAATTTATAGAAATTTCAAGGTATTTAAGTGAAACTAAATACAACTGAGGGTCTATATGTGCAAAATATGTGAAACCAGGGGCGGATTTAGATTCTTGAGTTGAGTTGTAGTTGCATCCCCACAAATTTATAAATTGCATATAAGCCCTAGTAATATTTATAAGCTTCCCCCTTCGCCCTCTATAAACTTTAAAAACCACACCATAACCTATATCAAAACTCATTTCAAGAAATTTGAGCAATAGTTAATTCAGGGGAAGTTAGAAAAGTTTAGAAAAATCTCGATTACTCGATCATATGAAACCATCTCAAAAAAAACAAAAAAATAATAACTAATTTAATAAATAATTTGCAACAATTTTTATTAAAACAAAAGTAAAAACTCACCATAAAATGGACGCTGCCCTCACTTCGGATTCAGTTCCTCTCTAATTTGGTGGTAATTAGAGAGGATCCAATTATTCGAGTCATTAACTTTCGTTCTAATTTCAATGGCCGTTTATAGGCATCATTTGTAGAAATTAACATTTTTGTATTTTAAGGCAAGATCTTAGGTACAAGTTGTATAAATTGGAACTTTTGTTTTAATTAATCTTTTTTTTACACTATTGTCATATTGGTTTTCACAATAAGGGATTTTAATATAGAAAAGTGGTTTTCAAAACAATAGTAGAAATCCTATGTGCCGTAATTTCATCCATTGAAATCCAAATATAGGATAAATTTTGAGATAATTGAAGAAGATCTGGATCCCCCTAATTGGAGAGGAGTCGAACCTCTACTCTAATTATCATCTAATTGGAGAGAATTCACATTTCCTCACTTAGAGAACTCGGAATCATTAATAGTCTCTTTCTAACTTCTACGTACTATATATTGACATAGGTGTGTATATAAAAATATACATACATTGATATGTGGCAAGAAATAAGAGGAAAAATACATAAAAATAGAGAATGAAGAATTAAAGATTTTGACCTACTCGGATACCTCCAAAGCTAGTGCCTCCCTTCTGACCTCACTTTTTTGGCTGCTGCACCCATTTTATCGATAAAATCAAACTTATTTATTGGATTCCAATAATCATACTAAACCAATAAATGAGATTTTTTTTATTCTAATAAACTTTCACTCAAGAAAAAAGGATAAATTTTACCTCTTGGGTGAATCAATTGAGCTTCATGGCACATTGATCAGAAATCTTAATCACGTATAAGAATCTCGAACATCTTGTCGCCTTTTGACAAATAAATTGTAATAAACTAAAATATCAATACGTGTGTTATATTATGCATGTTTGTTCTATTTGCATGTTACCGGAAAAACATGTATGTATTTATTATTTTTAACAATAAGTTGTTATAAACTGAAAGAATTATAACGCACACAAAAACATGTATGTATTTATTATTTTTAACAATAAGTTGTTATAAACTGAAAGAATTATAACGCACACCCATATCTATTGATTACGGACAATAAGTTGTTATAAACTGAAAGAATTATAACGCACACCCATATCTATTGATTACGGAGTAAATGCCTATAAAAGAATCCAAACTCCTAGTTGCCTTAGGACTTTTATGCTTACTCATGATATACTTGATATATTATAAATAATTATTAACATATTGCTAAGTATTTATTAGTTTATTAACATTAAATGTTTAATATTTGTATTAATCTAATTATAAATATTTATTTTTTTATTATCATTTCTTTAGTATACGTTAATAGATATTATTATATTAAGTTATTATCATATAATAATAGAGAAGGAGTTTAATTGAATTAATTTTCTAATGGTAGTGAATGCAAATTGGAGGTGTATTTATTACATTTAATTTAATTGGTGGTTATGAGAAAGATTTGAAGGGGTATGGTTTATGCATATATGTGTTGTATGTACTCATATATGTGTTTTTATGTATGCATGAATGTGTTTTAGCATGACTCAAAGGGTATTTTAGAAAGAAATATTTTAACATGGTAACACACTTTTATAATAGTATTAGATTAT